ATTAGCTTTTCCTGACGTATATTGTAGCCTCTCTTCCATTTAATCAGCAGTGAAGTCACCAGGAACTGATCACACACTGGAGGGAGGAGATATGCAGCAGCATTGGAATCAGTTCCCAACCACAAATGGCAGCATAGTGTGGCTGAGCGTCGTGGCACCTGCCTTCATTTGTGTTATTGCTTTTTGCACTTGCATAGAACTTGGCTTAAACACTGTAGGGGCCAATGGCTCCTCACTTACCCAGTGGGGGTGAGGCTGGAGGGAGATAAAAAAGTATGTTAGATTCATATACATTCCAAGAAACCAGTGCGTTCCTAGTAGTTGTTAATGATCATTTGAACAACAGCTTCTTCTGACAGCTACGAAACAGCAGGAGCAGAACTAGAGAAAGAGTTTCTCTCTGCCAGTGCCAATGTGTCATCCCAGTTTAGAACATTCATGACTGTGTGCAGACCTGGGGCCCCCTGAGATCTGGGTTGCTGAACGGTGTCTTAATATTGTCTTACTTAGTTGAAAGAGAGTTACAGAGAAAAAGAGACAGACACACAGAGATCCTCTCTCTGCTGGCTCACTACCCAACTGCCAGAGCTGAACCAGACTGAAGCCAGGTGCCAGGAGTTCACTGGGATCTCCCATATGAATGTCAGGGACCCAAGTAGTTAGGTCATCTTCCATTGACTTCCCAGGCATATTTACAGGGAGCTCGGTTAGAAGTAGAGCAGCCAGGACTCGAACCCATGCCCATGTGGGATACCAGCTTTGCAGGCAGTGGCTTAATCCGCTATGCCACAGATTTGCTCCCTTTGCTGGAAACTTTCTTATCAGTTGTGAGACGCATTGGTAATCTGTAGGCTACCTCTGGTTCTCAGAAGACCTTCGTGACCCTCTGAATGTAACATCTTGCCAGGGTGAGCGGTCTGAAGCACCTGTAGACTTGTCCACCTCTTTGGCAGCAGGTAGGGCCAGGCTGCAGGCTGATAAGTTTGATTAGGACAGGGGACCCAGGAGTGGCTGGGAGGTGGTGTGAATCACGTGACAGTCTCAAGCACAAACATGTAGAATGGGAAGTAGAGTTTCTGACAGAGGTGTCAGCTTTGCAGGGACTTTGGCCTGTTTCAGCTCTCCACACACTTGAAGACTTAAAAACTTTCCCTCAGAACTCTGATGGAGAGATCTACCATTGAACCTCTCCCCACAAAGTCCCTGTGGAGGTTTCTAGCCTAGTTTTTCCTCCTCTCCCTCTTCTGTGGAGGGGAGCAAAGCAGGGACAGCCTCACAGAGCCAGTAGCTGTGCTCTTGTGCTTGCATTGGCAGAGCCATGCCCACTTGCTCTTTTCTTAAGGACCACATTGGAGACTGGTTTGGGATCCCTGCATTGTTCCCAGTCCTGTTTGCAAGTAGCCAGTCATAATTTACTGTTGATAAAGCCTTGGCTTCCTGCTCAAGTGTAATATTTGTGCATTCTTCTGCACATTTTGATGATAAGGTTATTGTTTGGTTAGCCTCAAGGCTGATCAGCCTGCTGTTGAGTCTGCTTCTTCTTGGCTGTGTCATGGAATTGTTGTAGAAAAGACTTAAATCAGCACCTTAAATGTAAGACACCAAAGTGCTTCTTTTGAAAATTTATTTATTTATCCATTTTGAAAGTCAGAGTTACAGAGAGGGACGGTGAATGACTCTTTCTGCCAGCACTGAGCCAGGTCAAGGCCAGGAACCAGGAGCTATAGCCTTATCTTTCCTGTGGGTGGCAAGGACCTGGGTTCTTGGGCCATCATTTCCCAGTCTGTTATCAGGGAGCTGGATTGAAAGTGAAGCAGCCAGGGCAAGAACCAGAGCCCAGATAGGCTGCTGCATGACAGAAGGTGGCTTTGCCCACTATGCAGGTCCCTGGGCATTTTTTTTCTGATGTAGTCATAGCTAGCTTGGTTTATGCTAGCCTTATATAACTGTATGCTCTATCTGCAGAACTCATTGCTTTTTAAGATGCTGCTTCATTGGAATGTGTGCTTGCCCTATCTGTGTTTTAAAGACTCCATTTCTGATTTTAACAGATAGGTTGAGGTTGATCTCTGTGGGATAATATTCTTCTCAGTAACCTTTATAGACTTGCTGATTGATGAGTTCATATTACGTGTCCTGGTGTGAGCCCTCTGACCTTCTCTTTCCCTCACATGCCTCTCCTGAGACATTTGTGCGGAACAGAATATTTACACAGGGCTGAGTAATGCCTCATCCCGTGGACTTGGTGTGTTTAGAACAAAACCTTAAATAAGAAAGAGAAGTTCATTCAGGTTGTAAATGCCAGTTTTGACTGACTTGCAAATTGCTCCCCTCCACAATTCTTACTTTATCTTCTTAACCAATAAAGAAGAATCAGAAAAGGAAGAAAATGATTGAAGGAACTAATTTCCATTTAGTGTCTCCAGCAATAACTGTATAGCTATATTCTTACTCCTAGAGAACATAAAGGAAATTCTCAAAAGGCAGTCGTGAAGTTAGAGACATTAATAAAAAAAAAGGGGGGGGGGCCTGCCTTCTCAAATAGAAACATGAATGTATACACACACATAAGCACATAAGACCTCTGTTTCCTGTCCCCTCCCTACTGCTTTTTGTGAAACATCCAGTGAAAGTCAATCAATTGCTTGGAAAACATTATTGTGTGTGTTAGGAACCTGGATTTTCAGTTAGATCTGGGTTGAGTTCCCTAGTCAACCTTTGATTAACTCCATGAACTTCTTAAGGATGTCACTTAGTGGATGACTTAATATTGACTGAGATGATCTGTGTAAGGCTCTTAGTAGAGCGTTTGCTTCCTGGTAACTACTTAATAATTTTTCATTGTTAGTGCCAATCTGTGTCATTTGTCACTATGACCACTTGACCATCACGTGCATCATTGCAGCCATCACTACTGTTTCATCGAATCTGTCTCTATCATTGTCATCATCATTATCATCATCATTATCTCACTCTTCTGGTTTACTGTGCACCTCTCTGATCAGTCCCCTTGTAGAGTCCATCTTCTTGAGGTTTGTGTCCTCAGCTTCGTCCCATTCTCTTGCTACACCTACATGAACTCTCCCATCCACATGTAAGGCTTAGCATATTAGCCATTGCTGGAGACCCCAAGACCATGGGTGTATCCCAGACCTCACACCTTACATCAATTGACAACCTCTCCCCACAAATGTCCCAGCAGCACCTCAAGGCAAGGAGCCAAGTGCAATGTGTCTTTCTGTTCTGGAACTTACTGCTGCTGCTTCTCCTCCTTCTTTTTTTTCTGATTTAAAGAAGTGATTGCCTTCTACTCTTAATAAAACAAGAAACCTGGATGTCATTCCTTGCTGTGCTTTGTCCCCTTCCTCCAATGTTCAGTCAATACATTGCATGTGTAGTTCCATGTCCTGAGTGCTCAATGAGTAATTATTGAATAAGTCAATAAAGGAGTGAATGAAATTCTTGATTGCTCACCGTATCCTTCCATTGCCATTGCCTCTTCTGCAGTTCTGGCTGCCATTAACTCTCACCAACTTAAAATGTCACAGTTCATAAATCCCATAGTTGAAATATCCTGACTGATTTTCTTTGCTTCTAGGTTGGAGTTCCAATCTCCGGCATCACTGGAGTCCAATAGTCACGCTGTAGGCAGAGTGATTCTTGTAAAACCCAAGGCCCCAGTCATGATCATGCCTCCTCCTTGCTTAGGAATGCCTTTCAAGGATTCCTAAGAGCTGTATTGATTTACTGTCATGGTGTGTTGTCCACAGGCACTCTCAGAAGTGTCTAGGATTGGGCCCATAATTAATGATCCCCCAAACCTAGTCTGTGTTCTGTGTGCATTGGTTGTCATTTCCTCCTCGTGCCTACATGTGAGAGGAGCTTTGTGGGCTCTTCCTTCTGTCGGGAACACTCTTCCTTTCTCTCCTGGCTGCCTCCTACCATCTGGATTGCAGTCTAGGTCCTATTCTGTGCCAGGACCTTCTCTGACCCCTGGTTTATATAAGGTACCTCTTTGTGTTTCCATATCATCTTGTATTTTTCCACTCTCCCTTGCCTTGGGTTTTGATTAACTGTTCCCTTCAGTAGGTTCCCTACTAGCCTCTAAACTCTGTCAGATCTCTAGCCACTTCTGATCAGTGCCCACCTTTCTAGTGCCTGACCTAGGACTGTTCACATGGATAACACTCACCAGGTATTTGGGGAAGGAATGGAGTAAAGCATTAGAATGGTCATCGTATGTGGATAGGAACTCTCACTCCACAACAAATCACCTTGGACCATGCCTAATGTGCAGCTATGAGCAGAACACTTTTATGGGGAGAAGTGAGTTGGGGGTCCCTGTTGGTCATGTTTGTGAAAGTAGGGGAAATTATTCCTTATTCCTTTGATTCAAAGTTCACTTTAGGACAGAAGTTCAAGTTGCTACAGATTGTCAGTTCTAGGAAATCTTGTAGGTGATAATACTGCAAAACAAACAACAGCTGTTGGCTGCCCTGAGCGAGCATTTAAGGCTACTTTATTCCAAGGATGAAAGAAGGATTGACTTTAAAGTTATTTTACCTAGGAGTTAAATTTATTCTCATTATTCTAACACTTCCTAAGTTATTTAAGTTCCAGATTTTGTGTTGTAAAAGTAAATACAACAGGTTAAATATTGATTTCTAAAATAATAACTTGTAATATGATAGTTGCATACATGAAATTGTAGTGTTTTTTAGATTATAATTTTTAAATCATTATTTGAGCTGCCAAAGAGTCCTAACAGTATAGTATTTTGTTCCACACCTGTTGACTAGAAAGGAATTCAGGACTTATGTATGAATCATTGTATGTGTTCCTGGGCTTGTTTTCTGCAGACATAGGCATATCAACATAATTTTTAAAAAATGAAAGTAGTGTCTTTCCATATAGGGTTTAAATTTACTTCTCATTTTCAGGGAAGAGATAGGGGTAAATTTGACATACAAACTCAATTTGTTTTCTTTTTACCTCTGCAGCTTTTGGAAAGAACCAACAATAGTTTTGAGGAATCGGATTCCGGTGCCACCAAGAGTCCTCTCCATTTGGCTGTAAGTGAAACATTATGGGCTACTTGGCTTGTTACAAATAGAAGCTAAACTTCCTTGAAACTGGGCTGCTCTTAATATATAAACATATCAGGGCCATGATGGGTGGTCAGGAAAGTAGTACAAGGTTGAAGGCGCAGGAGGCTATGGAGAGAAACCTTGCCTGTCTTTCAACTTAAGCTTCTTGCTGGTGACCCTAGAAATAACACTTTCCCTGTGTGTGTTGTAAGATTTATCTATCTATCTATCTATCTATCTATCTATCTATCTACCTACCTACCTATCTATCTATCTATCTACCTATCTATCTAAGAGACAGTTAACACAGTGAGAGAGACAGAGAGGGTATTATTCCATCCACTAGTTTACTCTCCAGGTCATTCATTCTCCAGGTCTAGGTTGAGCCAGGCTAAAGCCAGGAGCTGGATCTGTGTCTCCCACAAGGGTGCATAGGCCCATGCACCTGGGCCATCTCATGCTGCTTTCCCAGGCACATGAGCAGGGATCTGGATCAGAAGTGGAGCAACTGGGACTCAAATTGGGACCATTAGAGGATGACAGCATTGCAGTTGATGTCTTTACTCATCATGCCACAACACCAACCCCGTTGGGTGTTCTTTAAGCTCCATGGCATTCTACTTGTCTGAAAATAAATGTGGTAGAGCAGGTTAAGACACTGCTTGGAAAGCCAGCATCTCAAATCAAAGTGCTGATTCAAGTCCCAGCTATTCTATTCTTATCTGGCCTCCTGCTAGTACAGCAGGTAAAAAAAGGCTCAAGTGTTTGGGTGCCCATCACCCACATGGAGTTCTTGGCTCTAACTGTTGTAGGCATCTGGAGAATGAATCTGTGGATGAAATCTTGCCATTTGTCTCTTTCTCTGTTGTTCTTTCAAGTAGACAAAAATAATACAAACATTACAAAAAGTGACCAGGTGGTGGCATTACTGGAAGGAATTGGATTTCTGATAGTTCTGCGGCTGGCAGAGCCAAGAGGGTCATGGAGAAGTTCCAGCTGTTTCTCTTCTCATTTGCAGCTAACATGGGCATGATTCCCCACCTGGAAATGAAAGGAAATTGCTACTATGGATCCTGACAACCCAATCCAGTCTATTAGTTCATTTAATTCTTTGTTATGTGATCTTGGCACAAGTACCTGACCTCTTGAGTCTCGCTTTCCTCACTCCTAATGTGAAGGGAACAGTGGTACCTCATCCCAGAACTGTGGAGGGATAGCAGGAATGAATGCATGTAAAGCAATTCAAACAGTGCCTAGCATGTACTTGGCAGACATCCACTTCATCTTTATCATTGTCAACATAAAACTCATTCTTTTATTTGATACATACTGATTATAAACGGTGCCAGTCTTCCAGAAGCTAAAGATACACACACATACACACACACACACACACACACACACACACACACACACACACACACGCAAACTTCCTCTGTCTTTATGATTTCCAACCTAGGAGAGACAATAGGCAATTTAATATGTAAAACATTATGCATAATAAGTACTGCAGGCACTACAGGAACAATGAAATGGGATCAGCATGGTAGAAGTGATTGAGGTGGCAGGAAGGATGCTGTTTTACACAGCAGAGACTGTCACACTTGGACAGACGCCCCCAGCGTTGATATCTGATGGCAGAATGTTCTGGGAAGAAGTGCTATTTTCTGGGGCGTGAGAGCATAGTTAACAAGCCTACAGGAAAGCTTAGAGACCCCTGGGGCTGGAGCAGGGCCGTGAGGAAGAGCAGTCAAGGGTAGGATCTGAAAAATTGGGAGACCTGCTATAGATCTCACAGGCCTCCGGTTGAGAACTGGCCTTCGGCTGCCAGCAAAATAGGCAACTCTGTGGTGGGTTAAGAGGCTAAAGGCAGTATAGGGCTTTGGTTTTCTAAAACCTGCTTTAGCTTTTGTGTTGAGTTAGAAGCACAAGAGAGGAAAAAAGGCCGCTAGAGTTAAGATGTGATGCTGGGGGCTTTGATCGGGGTGGTGACGGTGGATTCATTCTAAACTGCTTTATTTTCTAGGCCTTAAGAGTTTAAAAAGATTACTTGCTGCTAGAATCCTACAGATATTCCCATCCCTTCTCTTCAAGGAGACTCAATAACAATTAACCTGATAAAACCCCAGGCACACAATTTCCTAGGTGGGAGCTCTAGCATAGAGATGGAACCAGAGGCCCCCCAAACTCGACTACCCCAAGAAACCCAGCCTACCTTGAATTATTATTTCCTAGCTGAATGATTCAAGTCTTGAGTCATCAGGCCAGTGAATTTCATAAGCATTTCATCCACTTAAAAATTAAATTAAGAAATAAGGTTATGCAAATGAAAGGCTCCAGGTGTTGACAGTTCCAAATGAACCTATTGTTTTCATGGATTCCGTTGAAATCCCAGCTCTTTCCGCTCATTGCCCTTTGTTTCTAGCTAAAATGATTTGAAACCATTTAATCATGTTTAAGAGATATTTAAGTTGCCTAATGAGATTTTTTTAGGAGAGGCATTTCTTAAAATAATTTTAAAATGTTTCAAAGGCTTCAGTGATGTTCTGTTCAATGCATTATAAATTAAAGGACTAAAGGCTACATTAAGGAAGAAACTGGCCTGTCTACCCTTCTGTCTTTAGGAGAATGTTCAAATGCCTGGATAGAAGAAAGCATGAATTGGAATTCTGTTCTTTTCCTGATTACCAGTAGAGTTCACTTCATTTCATCTTAATATGAATATGAATTGGACTCCAAGCCGAGTGCCCTGTGATGTACTACTGCTCTGGGCAGTGCAGAATTCTTCCCACCTGCATTCTGCTTTGCTTTTGCCTTTCCTGTGTATCTTCTGTTTATTAATCTGTTAGATATTGTGCTTTGTGTGCATGGATTTTACATTGCTAGTTCCATTTTCCTAGGCTCGGTCATGCTCAAAGAAATTAAAATGGTTATTCTCTGGAGGATAGGAACTGACACTGAAGGAGCTGGCATTTGCGAATAGCTTTTAGGACTTGCTGTCATGTACATGGGTTCACTTCCCCTGAAACAGTGACTGCCATTGCAAGTTAAAGGGGAGACAGTATTACGTGCATAAGTGATTTTCAAATCTAGAGGACAGAGCAGCTGGCAGACGCGCATCCTAAAGTGGAGCTTCCTGCTCCCCAAAGCCTGTCCGTGAGGATGGGTATCCTGAGTCCCATTAAAGCGTCTATGAATGGAGTTGATGAAGGCTGGGACTAAGTGGAGGCCACATGGAAATTCATTCTGCCATCATCTTTTCTTTGTGTATGTTTGAAATTTCCCACAATAAAAAGTAAAAGCTTGTACCCTTGGCCACCTCATACTCTTTTTCTTTGTGATTGTGAAACACTCACAGTCCGGGATCCAGGGTCAGCTGGTCTACCTTTGAAGCCTGTATCCTCCTTGGCAGGCTGTATAACCGTGGAAGCTTGCTGTGTCCTAGCTAACAGTAAAAGAGCAATGTCTAGAAGTTAGTCCCACAGGTATATTTATGCCGCGTATCTTTGTTTGTTACAGTGTCATTATGTTGAGCCACCTAGAGTGTGGGATTAGATTTCTGATTTTATATTTGCTATTCAATTCTGTTTATTATACCTACACACAAATTATTTAATTTTAAAGTCAGTTAAGTGGAATTACTGGAAAAAAAAATTGTGAGACAGAACCTAAAAACAAAAATAATAGTGGTCATGAAAACTGGGTTCAGATTTTGACATTGTCATGTATTAACTACCTGACAAGTTAATTGGACAAGTTAATTTAATATTGCTTACTTTGTTTCATTTTTTGTCTATTGAAATCTGCAAAAGATGTGCTCAGTATAGTTTCCAGCACATAGAAAGCAATTAACAAGTGTTTTTTTTTTTTAAATTTCTACCACGAATGACAGTAACTGTCATTATATTTGTTATTTTATTCATGATTTGTCAGGTAGTTTGTGCATCAGCAATAAATAACACATTAAACATCCCTTCACATATACAAGTATCAGGTGGAAATAGTGATCTGAAGATGAGGGGGTGGAAGTGCCTGGGATAAATGTGGTAGAGGGTGAGGGTTGTTGCACGTAGGCTGCTCTGGGAAGCCACCATGATAAGGTGAGATTTGAGCAGAAGTGCCAGCAAAGCCATGTGACTCTGTGGGAAGGGCTTTCCAGGGAAAGGAAATAGAGCACAGATGTTAGGCCCTAGAGGAGGGATTGGATGCATTTGACTGTAGAAGGGCCTGGGGGGGCTGACCAGAGTGAGTGAGGTGTGTGTGGAGCAAGATTGTGGTCAAAGACTAGATCCTGAGTGAGATAGATCATCAAAGGAAATTTTGAGTGTTGTCATCCATGAGGGACGAAGTATTACATGAGTTCAAAACAAGACATAACACAAGCAAACCAGGCTTTGAAAGAGTTCATCTGTGGGGTGTGTCAGAGTGACAGCAAAAAAGGAAGATTTGGCTTTAATCCTAGCAGAACAAGGTGGTGGAGGTGCTAATGAGAAATGGAAGGATTCTGTATGTATTTTAAGGAAAGAGTAGGCAGGGACAATGAGGCCTTAGAACTGGCATTGAGGGTCACTATTGTAACAGCAACTTTGTATGAATTAGAAAAAGAACTGGGGAGCTGTTTTCCTGCCAGATGCTGAGAACAACCCTTCTCTGTGAGTTAGCATGGGGTCTGTTCCTTTCAGCAAACCTAGTCCTGTACCAGGACAGGATGAGATGCATAAACTTACCCTGTTGTACCAGAGTTCTCATTCAAAGCTACAGCTATGATTTTTTAAAAAGATTTATTTATTTTTGTTGGAAAGTCACATATACAGAGAGGAGGAGAAACAGAAAGGAAGATTTTCCTCACATTGATTTACTCCCCAAGTGACTGCAATGGCTGGAGCTGAGCTGATCTGAAGCCAGGAGCTTCTTCCAAATCTCCCATGTGGATGCAAGGTCCGAAGGCTTTGGGCCACCCTTGACTGCTTTCCCAGGCCACAAGTAGGGAGCTGGAGGGGAAGTGGAGCTGCCGGGATTAGAACCAGCACCCATATGGGATTCCCACGTGTAAGGCGAGGACTTTAGCCACTAGGCTATCGTGCCGGGCCTGGTACTTGAAAACTTCAATCCTAGTTTTTGTTATTGCCATTAACATCTGTTCAAGAAGAAATATTTAAACCATTTTTAAAAATAATATGAGGGAAATTTGTTATTGACACACCACTAATAGTTTGTTTTGTAGCCTTCTAAATATCTCCTGTGAGAACTATGAAGTATATAGAGACATAAACAGGCTTGCATAAATATATTTGCTTTTTATATCAACAAGCTCATGCTATAATTTAAATTTCCTAAAATAAAAATTTTGGATAGATTTTGTTAAATAACCTTCTACAAATGTCACACCAAATCTAAGATTGCTGGCTTTTTTTTTTCATGATCTTCACTGATAATGGACATAATCAAACGTTTTAATCGTTGTCGACCTGGTAGTTGAAATGACATTTAAAAAATTTACGTTTTTGCTTGCCCGTTGGCCTTCTATATTCCATTTCTGTGAATTTTCTTTTCATGCACTTTAGTATTTTTTGAATGCTTTCTAATAGCTCTTTGTGCAACAAGGAAATTAGTCTCTCTTCTTTGTGCAGCCTCTTTTCTGCTAAATTATGCTTGGAGTTAGAGCTGCAGGAGCAAACAAAAAGCCCAGGTGCCACAGGGAAGGAGTTGCACGCCAAAGACGCCGGTACAGGCTTTTCTTCTCTGTGTCTCTCCCCTTCTCATTCTCCCCACCCATCCAAAAACGACCTTACTCTCTTTCCCTCCTTTGCCAGTGTGTATAGATACAGGTTTTTAATCTATAAAACTCAAAAATGTTCAGACTTTTCGTTGTTAGTAGTGTGCAGCCTCTTACTCTTCACATCGCAGAAGGCCTCAGAATCTGTCTGAAGTTGCTACTAGTGATGGACCGTTCCCATAATTGGTCCTGTGTTGTCATTATAATCAATGAAAGAAAGGAAAGAAGTAGCTACATACAGCTATTACACAGAATCTGTTCCATTTTGTCTCTATGGCAACCTCAGGAGATAACTTGTATTGCTACAGAGGAAATAGATTTCTATTGAAATTAAGGAACTGAGTTTAATGGATGAAAATTTGCAAAGTTTGGACTGTAAGGGAATCTGTGTGTCACTGTTAAATTCCAAAGTCCACAATGTTTTCATTGTTTATTTCTCCAGGTTTACTAACAGAAAGAATTCCTGAAAAAATATATAATGTCAACATACTTAGGAGATGAATATTCATTCTTTCAGCTATTCATGTTATGTTAGATTTTTAGATCAATAGATTTAAGCGTGTGTTAGTGCATTTAGTGCCTCTGCAGTGCAGTTTTTGACAAGGGAACAGGAACAGCTAAGAAGTGACGTAGAGCTGTGACATTTGTGCATTGTAGTCTGTCAGTCCCGCTCCTCTGGTTAACTCTCTCAGTCCTTGGTCCCACTGTCTTTCTGAGGTGCCCTTGGTGGTCTCCATTTGTGACCACAGGGACTCAGCTCCTTGGGAGGACTGTGGTGGGATCCAACAGGAGGGAGTTTTGAGCCACTGGTCTCTTCTCTGCAGGCCTACAACGGACACCACCAAGCCTTGGAAGTCCTTCTGCAGTCGCTGGTGGACCTGGACATCAGGGACGAGAAAGGGCGCACTGCCCTGGATCTGGCCGCTTTTAAGGGACACACAGAATGCGTGGAAGCACTTGTCAATCAGGGTGCCTCCATCTTTGTGAAAGACAATGTAACCAAAAGAACCCCACTTCATGCCTCAGGTAGGTCGTCCATCAGGTGTCTGGTTAACCTCACTTTGCGGCCCACTCCTAAGTTTGAATGAAAGGATGGTAGCATCTTCTTTCATTTGTTTTATTTTGTCCTAGGTGAGATATACCTATGTGCTTCCAAGTGCTTCTCACCTGCTATGCCTTTGGAAGTGATTGGTAGTCTCTCGCCAAGGTGGGCTCCTTGCCTCAATAGAGAGTTCAGAACCCATAGCCAAAGAATAACACAAAACTTTCCGAACGAACGGCAAGATGTAACACAATTGTCAGAATAATCTACATAGAGCAGATTAGTAAAAATCAAACAGCATGTTGAAGCACAGCAGTTGATGAGATCTCAGGGCTGTTTCATATGAGGAATCAGACTGCTCTGTGATCAGATCATTCTGCTAGGCTCAGTGATGCTGCTGGGCTTTCACCTTGATTCTTGATATATCAGATGTAGAAATAGAGACTTTTAAAGAAGGCACACATTTTACTCAGTAAGTAAGAACTTTATTTTCTAGGAATATTTTTTACAACGCTTGTGAAAAACTGGCTAAAGATCTAGAATGCACACACACACGCACACGGGTATGAAAACAGTGTGGGAGGGTCCCTAGCTCCTGGGTTCAGGATATCCAGTGCTAGCAGCCCTTGGTTAGTAGTGAATGCCATCCTGTAGGGAGAATTAACTGTTACACGGAGTAACAATGGGCAAATTGAGACAAAGGAGTGAAGGCAGCTTGTCTAAGACTTTCTGATTGCTGTTGCTTGGGGAAATTTTCTCAGCATGATCATCTGTATCCTTGAACTTCCACACCAATATAAAAAACACATCCAGAGATCAAAATCCCTATTTGCTGACTAATTACCTAGAGATTATTTTGTTGAAAAAAAAATAGTGTAATCATTGAGTCAGTGCTGGTTGCTGTGATTGCATTATGAATTTTCCATTGCATTTAGTCTTGTTCCTAGCTGTGCTCATTCTGAAGCTCAACTTTTGCTCTTTTCTATGTTGGCTGGCTGTGATTAAGGTAGGCATCCTACTTTGGTTACCGTGTAATACCTGACCGTTACAAAGCCTTGTTTCCTTTGTGGAAAACAGCCCTTGTAAACAGGTCAACAAGGAACAGTCCTGGGCACTCTTGCACCACTGTGACAGAGGTGTGGTCCAGTGGCACCCCCCGGTGGTTGTGAGGACTCTTAGGCTGCCTGCTCACAGCATCTGTAGTAGTGTGGGGAGGCTCTGCTTCTCCAGAATGTTTTCATCTCACTTGAGGGACCAGATTTTGTTGTTGCTGCTCCCAGTCCTTAGAGTTGCACGAGAAGTGAGAGCCAGGGTGGATGCTAGAATTTCATCCTAGATGCGTTCAGTGACAGGTGTGGCCTTGTTACAGCATGACAAGCAGCTGTCGCTGACAACCAGGGAGCGAGTAGGACAAAGCCAGACCTGGCAGGGCACAGCTGGGGAAGACAACATCTTTTGACCAAAAGACTAAAAACACGTAGTCTGTGGGCAAGCCAATGAGACGCTGAGTTAGGCTGTGCTTTTACTGTCGAAGGGACTTAAATGTCTCTCAAGACTTTGAGCTAAGAGCAGAAAGCTGTACCCAAAACAAAAGCCTTAACAGCAGAAATTATTTTGTTGTTCTGCATGCTGGGTAAGTGATATGAGTTCGGGTGATTTTTTTTTCTTCTTAGATCTAGCAAAAATCAAGAATTTTGAAACGATTCTGAGTATTTAAAGAATATTAGATAAAACACACAAAGGAGCCAGTGAAATACACTGCCTTTCCATCTTTCTGAATCCATCTCCTGTAGTTTGTCACTGCCTGTGCTATTTCACGGTCCCATGCTAATCACCGTATTACAAACTGCTTACATATTTTGCCTGTGGTTACAGATTCAGTGTGATTTTTAGAAGCAGAAAACAATGGCACATTACCTGTGCTCCAGTCCCCCAGATCTCCTCCTGGGATGCATAAATGTGCTGCTGCCAAGAATGGGCTGACTGCGTGAACTACAAAATGTGGACATTATTTTCTGTTGTTCATTTGAGTGATGTGGATGAATATGAGCTAATTCTAATATGTATGGAAAAAAATGTGTTCTGGTTAAATTAGCAGCCTCTCATGACTGGCAAATAATAAAAAGCACTGTAAAACATGGCTCTTAGACGAACCCTTAACTACCGAATGGAGCTGGCTTATTCCCTTCCCTCTTCACATTCATAGCAAGGCGAATTCAATGTATTTTATGGCAATGTGATTGTTTCAGAGAGGACAGGAGGTCACATTTGGAATATTAATCATACTGTTCTCATCTCACTCTGAATGGAGCATGCCTGCCACGAAGCTTTTGGGGGGGCACATTCTACAAGCTGAGGTTAGTATATTCCTCCAGGGACTGTCACTTCCCAGCCCATGGGGCACCTCCAGTTCCTTTAAAAAAAAAGCAACTGACCAAGTGCATATAGACAAGGTATGTCCCAGCTGGTCAAGGTTGACACTTGTGGGCTTAAGTTCCTGTCCCCTTTTGGACTCTCTTGGTCCTCTGGGCAAGAAGTGTACAGTAGCCACACAGGAAGTTGAGGGTAAGGAGTCAAGTCGGAACTCAGCAGTGGAGGGAAGGGGAGGCACAAGGAGAAGGCAGCAGGAAGACCCCCACGGCCTGCATGAGCCCTGGACAGAGAAAGGAAGGTTGTCTGGGGAGGGGGTACTGCAGCCACAGGTCCCATCCATGCGTCTCCTGACATCAGTGAGCAGGAACCAACTGGATCATGTGCACCTACAGGTCACGTCCGGCTGGAGGCAGCACTGATCTCTTAGGACAGCACTGCACCAGCTCCCTCCCAAGGGAGGGAGAGCCAAGGGAACTGAAGAGGCAGGACCATCTCTCTCAACCCCTCCCCTCCTCCCTCCTCCTTCCATTCAGATCCTGGCTCCCTCAACCTCCCTCTCTTCCCCTTCTTCCTTAAAAAAGAAAATAAAAGGCTAGAGACATGGTAGATACAGAATAATGAGAGAAAAATGGGGTGACTGACTTAGAGGGACAAGAAAAGGAAACATGACCAGTCCCATGCAGGAAGACCAGAAAGGAGCTCAAGCTGAATGAGAACTCCCAGAAAATAAAGATGAGGATCCAGAAGGCAAGGATGCTGACAGGCATGTAGGCTGGTGATTGACTCAGAGGTGCAGCAGGCCCTGCTCCTGTATCGGAGTACAGATCTGCAGAGGCTGAAGGTGACAGGGCTGGACTTCATCCCAGCTCCCAGCTTCCCAGCCCCAACCCCTTGCAGGCATTTAGGGAGTGACCCAGGGATGGGTCTGCTCATGTTCTTTTTGTTCTCTCTCTCTGATCTGTCTACTTGTCTGTCAGAGGAATAAATGCCGTCAAACTTGAAAAGCAAGAGGCCCAGACAGAACGAAGGGGAGAGGCTGAGCCTGGGGCAGGCTGTGTCAGGAAGCAGTTATGAATTGGAAACCACCCAGGGGAATCTGTTGGCAAGAATTGGAAAAACCGATCTGAAGTCCAAATACATTTAATTTTCGAGGGAATCTGTCACATTGGTCTGTTAAAACAATGCCCGTTATTTTCTTTTGCAGTAATTAATGGTCATACTCTGTGTTTGCGACTGTTACTAGAAATCGCAGACAACCCAGAAGCAGTTGATGTGAAAGATGCCAAAGGACAGTAAGTGTTCTCATCTTGGCCTTGGGTTGACATTTCTATCACCAGAGGCATGTAGTTGTTAAGTAGCCGGAGAACTGCCTACTGAATTCTACCTGTATATACAGATTTCATGGAAAATGGGATTTAAACATGAGGTTATTTTACTGCAGAGAACTGTGAAATCCATGCATATCTTTTTCAGAATCTGCATTTCCATGAACATTTTTGAAGTATGCTTTTATATTTGGGTGAAATTCTAGCCTTGTGCTGTGCTAGCACGTATATCCAGGAAGAGAGGATGTATGCAGATCTTGATGAGATTGACCACCTTTCTAAAGCTGTGGTCATGTTTCCTGTCTGTTTAAAAATATCCCCTACCTTTTTTGAAATATCTTTAAAAATATCTTCCTACCCAACCCAACCCTCTTCTGAAGCTGCTACATAACCAGTTTTAAATTAATACCGGCAGCAGAAGAAACCTCATGAGATCATGATTAAATATCCTTTGGACGTTGTTCCTTAAGTCTGATTTTCTCAAGTAGTTTCTGTCCGCTGACAAAGCACTTATGAGGAGTCCTAGGTGTATGAATCAATGCTGTGAGCAGATCTAGGACCTCAGCTCTTGGATACTATGTTCCCCACTGCCACCCCCAAACCCCGAGACTTAGCTTTAAGGAAGTGAGATTTTGTCAAAATGGAATCTTGGGCAAAAATCTAACACAGAATGCCATGGGAGTAGAGCTGCTGTGTTAGAAGCAACAGCGTTTCTACATAACCCATCCTCCCTTGCCAGTTGAGGTTTAGTAAGTGCTACGTAGTTCTGAAGATGATGGGGTTCGCAGGAATATTTGGAAAAGGAACCTCCCCCTACAGATCCCCATCCTCGGGATTCCATTCTACTGACACCATTCCACTTGGCATTAGAGCAGAGCCAGATAGCGTGTTCCGCAGGCTTATAGCAAACCAGGAACATTCAGAACATTTTAAGCCACATCCAAGAATAAAAAGGGAAGGGATAGTGATGTGTGTTTTTTTGATCTTTCTGATGGCAGTATCTCTGTCTCCCTAGAACCCCGCTGATGCTTGCAGTGGCATATGGACACATTGATGCTGTTTCCTTATTACTTGAAAAGGAAGCAAACGTGGATGCTGTCGACATCATGGGCTGCACAGCTTTACACAGAGGGGTGTGTATAACGCTCTCAGCTTGCGCCAGGCAACGTTTGCATGAGTATATTTTCTTTTTTTCCCCATATTGCCCAGAATGATCAATTAATCTCGGTCAAAACGAGATTACAGAATCTTTGGAAAGGTAATGTAATGAAAAATCCACTTAGGGTTTCATGTTGGAGTGGGATCATGGATCTGTGAACACCTGTAGTTGGTGGAATTGGTTTTGCCCTCTGATTACAAGATACCTGAACATCCCTGAAAATATCCCCAAAAGAAAAATGATAATCATAGAGAAGAAAATCGCAATCACCAGTAATCACACCTCCTGTGGAGATGTGCATGTCTATGTATCTCCAGTCTTTCTCTTTATTTCTGCATGTGGTTTATTTTAAATTTCAAAAGAGAGACTACTGAAGATACTGTTTGTAATCTCCTTTTTCTTTTCTTAGTATAGATCAAAAAACCTTTTTCGTGTCACAAAATGTTTTCCGTGTCATCATTCTTAATGTGCCGTTGTGTTCAGGTGCTATTATTTATTTTAATGATTACCTGATTTTTGAATAGTGATGATACTGCCAGCTTTTTATTACAAATGATGGCAAAATATGCATCTTGCGGGCAATTCTTTATAACTCTAAACCATTTTTTAATTTAAAAGGCAGAGAAGGAGAAGAAAAAGGAGACAGAGATCTCCCATCCACTGGCTCTGTCCCCAAGTCCCCACAGTAGCAGGGCTGGGCCCGGCTGAAGCTGGAGGCTGGGAACCTAGTGTCTCTTGTGGGCGGCAGGAACCCAAGTACTTGAACTGTCACCAGCCTCTTGGGGTATGCATGTGGAGGATGCTGAAATTGGGGACAGAGTTGAGACTCAAAGGCAGGCAGGCACTCCAGTGTTGGCCACAGGTCTACTAAGGGCCATCTCAACCCACTATGCCAAGTGCCTGCTCTTGAATTCTTCTTTAAAGTGCAACTAATAAACTAAATAGAAAACAAACTGCAGTCAAAAAATTACTACTTGGATATGGTCCCAACTCCCCCAGTAAATGCAAGGAGGAATGATCATGATTAAAATTCCTGTTTTTATTTCTGAAGCACTCCCTGGAAACTGCACCAGCCTGGGAACCTGATATAGCATTTCCTTAGTCCTCGTCACAACCTGTGAGATCATTAATACTGATCACATTTATAGGTAAATAAATCAAGACACAGAGAGGTGACGCCCAAGATTAACAAGAGTGAGAGCATGATTTCACTCACATCCTCTTGAGTCTTTTTTTAAAAAAAGATGATGATTTATTCATTGTTTTTGAAAGGCAGAGTTACAGAGAGAGAAAGATTCATCTGCTGGTTCACTCCCCAAGTGACCGCAATGGCCAGAGCTGAGCCAGTCCAAAGCCAGGAACCAGGGTCTCCATGCAGGTGCAGGGTCCCAAGACTTTGGGCTATCCTTTGCTGCTTTCCCAGGCCACAAGCAGGGAGCTGGGTGGGCATTGGGGCAGCTGGGCCACCAAGCAGGGCCCACATGGGATCTCAGTGTGTGCAAGGCCAGGACTTGACTACTAGGACGTCATACCAGCCCCCCTCTTGAGTCTTGAGCTGATGTTTTCTACCACGTCGTGGTCCTTTCATGGTTATACCTGGAGAGTCAAGAGATGTTTCCAGAATGTTAGCAGTCACAGGCTTTTCTGTTATGGAGCTGGTTTGTCCTGCCTCCCAGCTCTGCTATAAGATAAGGTCTATTTTCTTTAAGTTCCTTGCATAGGTGGTTACTGTGAGCCCAGCTTCAGCCAACTGTATTGTTTCCTGAGTTTCTGCCCTGCTAAAATTATTTTTGTGTTTAAATTGCAATGCATCAGATTATGACAGGACACGAAGAATGTGTGCAAATGCTGCTGGAAGATGAAGTGTCGATTCTCTGTAGAGATGCCAGAGGGAGGACACCCTTGCACTATGCAGCTGCACGGGGCCATGCCACATGGCTGAGTGAGCTGCTGCAGATGGCTCTTTCTGAGGAGGACTGCTGTTTCAAAGATAACCAGGGCTACACGCCGCTGCACTGGGCTTGCTACAATGGTGAGTTGCTTGCCATGTGACTGATTCTGCTAGGCTTCCCACCACCAGGCCACTGTGATTTCCATGGAGGAAATAACAGCATGATGCAGTGAACAAACGTTTTCTTTTTTTTTTTTTAAGATTTACTTATTTCCATTGCAAAATCAGATATATATAGAGGAGGAGAGACAGAGAGGAAGATCTTGCATCCAATTATTCACTCCCCAAGTGGCCACAATGGCCGGAGCTGAGCCAATTCGAAGCCAGGAGCCCAGAACCTCTTCCTTATCTCCCACACAGGTGCAGGGTCCCAAGGCTTTGGACCATCCTCGACTGCTTTCCCAGGCCACAAGCAGGGAGCTGGATGGGAAACGGGGCCACCAGGACACCAACCGGTGCCCATATGGAATCCCCGCATGCAAGGCGAGGACTTTAGCCACTGGGCTGCTGTGTCAGGTCCAACAATAGTTTTCAGTCTTTGCATCCAAGATACCTTTTCTAAGTTGGGGTTGTTTTTGAATAGTATTCTTCCCCTTCATAGCTGCTATGATATCTTAATTGTTAACTTTTCTGCTTTCTAAAAATCCATGGTACAAGTACTAACCATAGCTTCTGATGAACTGAAACAAGCAGTTTTAATCTGGATTCTTTATATATGATAAATAGTGATTCCATAATGAATTCAAATAATACAAATAAAAATTTTTTAAGTTATGTAATAACCTGTCACACTTTAGTAGATATGACATTTTATTGGTATATCTTTTAAATTTTATATTCCCCATTTATTTTGTTGCATTATTATATAGTGGATTTAAATTTTATGTTTTATTTATTTCAGTAGAATGTAAAGCATGCTACTTGCATCAATTAAAAAATACTGAAGTATCTAAAGTAACATTGAGTTTCCATTTCTAGTCTACTCTATATAATTTTGAATATGCCTGTCACAGCTTTTCCTTTGAGAATATTAATGCTTGTAAATGTGAATACAAATGAATGTGCATATGTTTTTAAAGTTGGAATCATGTAATAGATATCAACCTATTTCTGTTGTGGTCACATTTACTTAAAATTCCATTGCATATATGCTGACAAATCAGTACAAATTAATCTTTTTCATAGCTGTGTATAGCATTCTTCAAAAAGAAAATGGTAAATGTGTACTATGAGAAATGTTTACCTGGATTTTAAAAATGTCTTATAGCAAAATAAACCTACTTATCTTTTCATTCCATTTTTTCCATGAATGTGTAGGGGGTTCTCCTTCCGTAACGACCAGAATTTATCACTTACTCTTGTTGACTTGCATTCCGGTTGTTTTCCTGTAACAAAAATGTGATAGTGTGTGTGTTCATATTGTGGCACCATAAATCAGATAAATTTCCAGGCATGAACTTATTGAGTATGGGGCATACATACTTTTAAAATTTCAATACATTATATCATGTTGTTTTGCAAAAATGTTCTCATAACTTTTTTGAGTGAGCTGAATTAATTTTATTGAACATGTTACAAAGAAGTGGTGGGCAGTGTCTGCTGCCAATCTCATAATTACCATTTCATCAAACATGTATACAAGTTAATGTTTTCCGACATCTTTGTTGTCCTAGGATAATGTTGTCCTAGGATAATGCTTTTTTTTTTTTTTGTCAGTTTCACAGTCAAGGAAAAAGGTGACCTCATTGTTTCAATTTACATCTCTCTACATACTAGCAATTTATTGTCCATTTATGCTTCCTCTTCTGGAAGTTAACTTTCCTATCCTTTGCTCATTTTTAATTCCTCTTGACTTTGCAGAAGCACCTGCATATATTCTTTTCCTGGTGGGTTTGTGGGAACACCTTGTCAGTGATTTGATCCTCTCTGTTTTGTAGGTTGTATATTTATCCCTTGCATATGATGCCATTTTCCTTGCAGAGTTTGTGCTTTATGTATTTGAATCTGTCAGATGACACTTGATGATATTTAGGCTTCCAGTCTTTAAAAAAAAATGCTACCTTCAGATTATATAAGTATTTCCCCATCAATTTCTTATTTGGCTTCTATAATTTTTTTGTATTTTTATCCTTCGAATAAATTTTTTTTCTTAGGAGCTGTGATTACTATGTGTGTGTATATACATACATGTGTGAACTCAGATGTTTGGAAGTATTAGAAATAATTCAGAAGTTCCAAATTCTATTTACACAGACCCTTGGGTGGGGAATCACAGGGTCCCAACCTAAAGAATGGTGTGCTTCCGTGCTGTCCTAAACAGCATCCCTTAGGGAAATTCATATGAGTAGAGGGGTTGAGGAAGTTGGGTTGGATGTTACTGGAAAGCGGAACGATAGAATTCACTTAAAGCTAAGTCATATGTATATATATACACATATATATCATCCTGTGACACAGTCAGGGCAGGTATTCCTAGCCCAGCCTTGTATATGTGGGAAACTGGGGCTCACAGAAAGCAATTAAACTGTCTCAGGCCATGTGATGTGTAAGCTGATGGAGCTGAACTAAGTTTGGCTGAATTGGAAATCACCTGACATTTTAAAAAAATAATTCCTCACATTCATTCATCTGCTTATTAAAAAGATACTTACTGGGTGCTTACTGCATGCTAGGGACTGTTCTGAGTGCAATTATAAACACTTCCCTGGGCTTTTACAGTCCAAATGTTTTCATATGTAACATTCCAAGTACTATTTTCTGCTAATTGTGACTTCTCCCTGTCACTGGGATACACAACTGTAAGTAAACCTAATCATGTAGGTGAAAAGTAAGTTCCCTCTAACAAATATGGCCAGATTGGGGCATGCCTGTGTTAGCATCTTGCTGTGAGAGCTGAGTGTGACATAGAATCTATTCTGTTTACAAATAAGAAGTCTTCTCTCTCTCACCAAACCATATGGCCTTCACTGTTTTGTTTGCCTTTACGTCTCAGAACACCTGTGAAAACAGTTAATAGCATTTTGACATTTTGTTAATTTTATTCTATGGAGAGTGAACAGCCAACCAGTTCAGGAAAATTCATGAGCTAGAACTCAATAGTTAATGAAAAAAAAAACAGCAAAAGCATTCAGTGGAACAAGATTTCTTGGAGACTCAGTAAATTCTCTTGATTCCTTACAGGTAATGAGAACTGCATAGAGGTTCTTTTGGAGCAAAAATGTTTTCGTAAATTTGTTGGTAATCCCTTCACTCCACTGCACTGTGCCATGTAAGTAGAAGTGCTTGAAGGTAATGATGTTGCGTTAGTGCTTTTAGGAAAGGAAAAAAACATTCAGATAGCAGATAATGCTAAAATACTCCATTTTCTGCTCAAGACAAATAGGTGTGATAGCAAAGTGTGATCCCCAGTGTTAATGAGCTTCCTGAAGCCTTTGCTGCAATGCCCCAGATCCATCTCACTAGCTGTATGGCAGGGTGGGCCATGACATGTGGCATTCTTCACATTCCAGTAGTGTGAAGAGTTCTTCTGGAATTCTGAACATAAGTTGAGATTTCAGCAATATGCTTGGAAGTACATTTTTTACCAGGAAGACTTATTTTTGTATACTGGTAACTCTCCACATGCTGTAATTTTTCTTTCTTTCTTTTTTTTTTTTTTTTTTTTTTTTTGAGAAGTGCAATTTTTGTTCTGGTCTTGTGTGAACCATAATTTGGGGAAGACAGTTACTTAAGTGACTCCTGCATGGGTCATCCTGGGGACCCAAGACATGAGAATGCTTTGTTTTGACGTTGTCTCTGAACTTGGCATAAAGCTGTGTAACTTGGTTGAAAAAATATTGGAGGCATTAAAAAGAAGCCAGCGATGGAGATACTCTGAACCTTAAGGAACCATGTTATCATGTTATCTGCAAAAAAAAACAAAAACAAAAAAAAAACCACTTTGCTATCTGCAAGACTTGTGGAAGGGTGCTGTGCACATGCTGTGCAGTGAAGTGCTACCGGATGCAGATTCACAAAAGACCGCAAGGGTTGCAGCAGCTATGTCACTGAGATATATTCCACAAAATATTTGCATGAGATTTTTAAAAAAAATGAACCAGATGAAATATACAATAGATAGAAAGAAGAGATAGGCTGCAGATATATTTTAAAGGAGTGAATTTTTTACATGAAAATCTATTTTCATTTCAGAATAAATGATCATGAGAACTGTGCCTCCCTGCTCCTTGGGGCCATAGATTCTAGCATCGTCAGTTGTCGAGATGACAAAGGCAGGTAAGTCTCCTGAAACGGTTTTGCCTTCCATGTTAGTAAAGCATAGTCGGTTGTGCTATTACAGAGTGGCAAGGTACCTAATTTTTATTTTTTTGAGAAGAGCAATACATAGTATGTCTTTTTAAAATAACTACAAAAAGGATATATAGTTAGAACTCCCCCTCTTGGCACAAAATCCTTAGTCTGTTCCATAGGGGAAGCTGCTATTCACTGTTCTTTCCAAATTCTTAATTTCTCTAAGCATTTTATGTATATATCAACAAACAAATACGCACACACACACACAGTTCTTTTTCTGTAAGAAGAAGTTTATGCCTTTCATGGAAATCTTCTGTTTAAGTATGTTTTAGAGACCTTTCTATACCAGGATATACAACTTTGCTATATTCCATTTTTTAAACAAGTTCTTTCTCCTCATTTATCTGAAAGCCAGAAAGAGAGAAATAGAGGCCGTGTTATCTTGTAGTTCAGTCTTCAAGTGCCTACGATAGCTGAACATGAGCCGGTCAGCAGCTGGGAGCCTCACACTCGATCTTGGTCTCCCACATGGCTGCGAGTGTCCGATTACTTGAACCATCACCTGCTGTCCTTGCAAGGTGCACGTTGGTGGAGAGCTGTGTCACCAGCAGGAGCAGGACTTGAGTCCAGGCACTCTAATACGCGTTGCAAGTGTTGCAAATGTTGCAAGTGGGTCTTATCTGTTGTGCCCAATGCCCACCCTTACCATAGCCCTTCTAATGCTGCGTGCTGTTTCCTTGGCTTGATGTATCATGTTTTTACTCTGCTTGCCCTCTCTTGAAGAACATTTAGATTGTCTCCCATATTTTGTTATTTTGGAGTAAACATGCTCATGGATGTGTCATAGACATGACTAAGTATAACTGAAAAACAAGTGAAAGATTATTTTTTGTTACATTAAAATAAACTGATTTATTTGAAATGCAGAGTAAGAGAGAGAGATTGCTTCCATCTGTTCCTGCCTCAATAGCCAGGTCTGAGCCAGATGAAAGCCAGGAGCCAGGAACTTCACCAAAGTCTCCCCCATGAGCATCAGCTATCAACTATCCCAGTGCATCAAAAGTACTCCTGGGGGGGAGGATGTCACACAAGTGGAAGCTTAACTCTCTGTGCCTCAGTGACAGCCCCAATAAGTTTTTAACGTTGATAAATCATCAGCCACCTACATTGGATGATATAGACTTAAAATTGGTACTCAACCAGCAGTTGCCTGAACTTGTAAGACTCAATTGTATAAGTATCTGTCTCCAACAGGAGAGTGAACTCACTGGTCTCAAGACTAAAGGAGCAGTAAAGATTCATTAACCCAGCCACTGCATATACCCCTCTCCACACGTAGAGACCGCCATTTACATAGGTGACACTTGAGTCAGGCCTTCAGAGGGCGCGTGGTCAACGACTCTTACCTGGGAGATTGGGATTTCCAAGGGTAACACCATGCAGTTTCTCAGGCAGTTACTAAAGAAAGGGTAAGTTTACAGGAAACTAAAATCCTATGTGTTTGAATTCTTTGAGGACACCCCTTCATGCAGCAGCCTTTGCTGACCACGTGGAGTGCTTGCAGCTTCTTTTGAGACACAACGCTCAAGTGAACGCAGTGGACCATTCCGGGAAGACAGCCCTGATGATGGCTGCTGAGAACGGGCAGGCAGGCGCTGTGGGTGTGTACTTGTCATGTGTACTTCATGTTCATGCTTCCCCAATGACAGAAAATAGTGAAAATTTTTAAAAATCATTCATATTCTTTGTATGTATGTGTGGGAAAGGGCCGTGCACAGTTGCACTTAAGCTACCTGACTGTGTACCCAGGTGTTTTTGTGTCACTGGAATATTGTGCAGGTGCTGTCAGTAGGAAGCAGTCTTTATGCAGTGAAATTTTCAACGTGTAGAAACACAGGGTAATAAGCAGAATCATTTAACTGGTCATGATGAAAAACTATAAAATAAAATTGATGCCTATCAACCTTAGAATTAGAACTAATATGGCAATAAATTGTTCATTTTTTTTCCTTAAAAAAAACATAAAGTAGAATCTAAATTAACATAAATGTTATTTTTGTAACAACTTCTTGAAAATGCATGTGATTAACATCTAATCTAAGTAACTTTTTTTTTTTTTTGCTTTTTCTGTAGACATTTTGGTGAACAGTGCCCAGGCTGACCTGACCATAAAGGATAAAGACTTGAATACACCCTTACATTTGGCTAGCAGTAAAGTATGTAAATTAACTGAAAACACTGTTGCTTAAAGGAGTTTTTGAGAGTAATTTAAAAGTATTTGTTTGATTTGAAAAGCAGAGCTTTCTCATCTGCTGTTTCACTCCCCAAACCCCCTAATGGCTGTGAGCCCAGAACTCGATGCAGGTCTCCCTATGGGTGATGGGGACCCAGCTCCTTAGCCGTCAAGATCAAGATGCACACGAGCAGGGAGTAGACAGGAGTCAGAGTAGACAGGATCGGAAACTAGGCATTCCAAAATGGGGAATGGGTATCCCAAGATGTATCTTACCTGCTGTCCAAATGCCTGCCCTTGTCACTTGGCATTGTAGTAACATCAATAATAATGCCAGTAAAATCCTGTCTTTGAAGGAGTACATTTACTCAAAATGCTTTCAAGTTTTGGTGGAATGGGATTTCGGGTGCACAGGCACACCGGGCTAATGGGCTTTACCAGCATGAATGAGGAGCACAAGCTGTCTACGGCATCTGCCTTTTGCTTTCTCACCATGTCTGTGCTGGTGCTGGCACTGTATCTTTGGTTGTGCAGCAGGTTAGTGAGCAGGTTAAGAAGCAGGTTAGGGCCTCAGTTAAATCACTTCTAAAATGCAGGGGCTAGTGTTGTGACACAGCCTGTCAAGTTGCCACTTGAAACCATATCAGAGAGCTACTTTGGCATCCCAGCTGCTCTAGTTTTGAGCCAGCTTCTTGCTTATGTACCCAGGAAGGCAGAGGAAGAAGATGACTCAACCACGTGGGGTCCCTGCCATCCACGTGGAAGAGCTGGGTGGAGTTCCCGTCTGCTGGCTTTGGCCTGGCCCAGCCCTCAGGTTGTGGCCATTGGGGAGTGATCCAGTGGATGAAGATCTACCTTTGTGTCTCCACCCTCCTCACTTGTGACTCTTTCAGATAAACTAATTAGTCTTCTAAAGTGAAATATAAATTATTTATTTTGTTTTTATTTTATTCTACTTGAAGACATTGTAATAACCTAGTGAAAAATAATGGGAAGCCAATAAATACACATTTTACTCTTCCTACCTTCTTTTCTGGTATATAGTTCATTGCAGAAAAAAAAATTTTTGTTGATAGGATTGAGTTTAAATGTTGTTCAAGGTTCTTATTCCGCATAAGAAATTTTAGGGGCATATGTATTCCATGGAAAGATATGTTCATGCATATGTGTATCTATAGATGTATTATTTTAAAAAAGTGAGATCATATTTTATAATCTTTATTTATTTAAAAGTATTATAAAGAGAGAGAAATCCTCCATCCACTGATTCATCCCCAGATGGCCTCTATAGCTGGCTTTGGACCAGGTAGGATCCAGAAAATTCATCCACGTTGCCCACCTGGGTGACAGGAGCCCAAATGCCTGGGACATCTTCTGCTGCTTTCCCCAGGCCATTAGCAGGGAACTGAATGAGGAGTAGAGCAGCTGGGACAGGAACTGGTGCTGACATGGAATGCTGGCACTCCAGGCAGCAGCTTTATCTGCTGTTCCACAATGCTGGCCCCATATAGTGCTTTAAAAAGCTATGTGACACTTCAGCTTAGGAATAGGCCATCGCTTATCCAATCCATCTGCTGTTATTGGACAGACATTATTATACAGTTATAGGGAATTATTTTCTAGGAATCCTTATTCATTCTTTTAAGATAAATTCCTCAGACCTGGAGCAATGATTCAATTGGCTAACCTTCCTGGGATCCCATAAGGGTGCCAGTCCGTGTCCAGCTAATCCACTACCCATCTAGCTCCCTGCCTGTGGCCTGGGGAGGCAATAGAGGATGGCCCAAGCCTTGAAACCCTGCAGCTGCAATGGGAGACCCAGAAGAATCTCCTGGCTCCTGGTTTCAAATAAGCTCAGCTCTGTCCATTGTAACCATTAAGGGAATGAACCACCAGATAAAAGATCTTTCTCTCTGTCTCTCATTCTCTCTATAAAAGGCCTTACCAATAAAAATAAATAAATCTTAAAAAAAGAGAGAGAGAAGTTACTCAGTGTAGACTTCTTGAGCTTAAAGATGCGAACATTTTAAAAACCAAATCATTCTCTGATGAGGTCATAGCAGTGTGCATCCTGCCAGCAGTGCACTAGAATGGAAGAGCCAGGGACATTTCTAAAATTATGTTTAATGGCATCCCACATATGACATTGTGGTATGGTGCCAGTGGACACCAACGATGGTGATTAATTTCAGCAGAGTTAAAATGCTGAAGGTGTTATGTAGGCTCAATGTTGCCACAAATCTCAACAGTTTCTTTGTGCTCTGAGAATCCTGTGGAAATCACAAAGGGTGCTTAGTTTGATGAGGTTCTTGTCAAAGCATTCTGTGCTAGTGAGTATAAATACAGTGCTTCTCCTTATATGCACAATAAGATGCTGGACTCTATGCTTTGTAGATGCTTGCAAGGAAAAAAATCTCAACTGAATTTGACCTGTGGTAATGCAACAAGATGAAAGAATCCACTATGCAGGGTGGGGGGAGCGGGCTTTGGGGAGGGGAGGGGGGAATCCCAGTGCCTGTAAAACTGTGTCACATGAAGCAATGTAATAATAATAATAAAAAAACACTAAGAAATAGTGCTGAACCAGATATGTACAAAAATCACTAGCAGCTTGACACAAATGAACAGACTCTGGGCTGTGACTTGCAGAAAGGTGAAAATGGCAGCCGTTCATTTAGAAAGATCTTCATATACTATTAGCATTAACCTCAATCAGGCACTGAGTGACAGCCAGAGTCAATATGATGAACTTTTCATATCTGTACTCTTGGAAATGTGTAATAAATATAACAAGTTCCCCCCGCAAAAAAAATACAGTGCTTCTCAAACTTTATTGTGCAAACAAATCAACTAGAAATTGTATTGAAATCTAGATCAGTTTTTGAGGTCTGGAGTCTGCCTTAGAGGCAGTGTTTTTCACTGCCAGATGAACTTCATGCTAGAGGTCCAGGGGCAAGGGCCTAGAATGCCATGACTCCTTAAAAGGGCGCCAGGCCTGAAGCTATGGAAGGGTCTCAGATCTTTTAAAACTAACAGTTGCCTATTATTATGAGATAGAGAGATGTTCCCAGCCCCTAGCTGAGGGAAGAAGAGAATGAGTTTCCTGCTATACGGTCCCTTCATGGTGCAAAGAGTAAATGGTGATGAGTGATGCAAATAATTGTTGTAATGGGAAGTTCAGTGATGATGGATCACTGAGGCGGTAATTGAAGACTTCAGGAAAGATATTGGACTCAATATATGTGTATGAAGTAATGGTGAAGGATTTAAAGGATACTTCTAATTCTACTCTGTTTACCAGCTGAGCTTGCTACATTAGCATCTGCTTTAGCCCTCCAGGCATTAATTCTAACAATTATCTCAGAAATGTCACCATTTTAGTTCAGATTTATGTTAACATGTTTCTTTTAATTGACCTTCTATAGAATATTAGAGTATCTGGGGCTCATTTTTGTTTTAAAGGAAAAACAGTACTCAGAAAATAGCCCTATAGAATATTTTTGGTTAGCAGAAATTCATTTGCAGTTTGAAGCATAATGAAATAATTTTTCAGTAACCTCTCTGTGTCTATGTCTCCTGTTTCTTATCACTTCTTTCTCTTTATTAGGGTCATGAAAAATGTGCCTTGTTAATACTTGACAAGATACAAGATGAGAACCTTATTAATGCAAAAAATAATGCACTGCAGACGTAAGTAACTATTTCACTCTTACTTGAACTTAGAGTCATAGTAATTTATTCACCAAGTGTTGAGAATGCTGTGTCAGGCTCGCACTGAGGAGTGCAGTGATGAGGAAGGCAGACCTGGGGCCTTCTCGCCATGAGATTTGCAATCATGCACCAACAACTGTTGACTAAGCTCAACTGTACGGTCAGAATTCTCATTTTGATACATTGTCTTAAGGTTCTTTAAGATCTGTATTTTTCCTTTCCTGTTATTTCTGTAGTAATGCTGTAATTTTAGTGGGCTGCTAGAAAAATCATATAGGCTCATAAACTGGCATATTTGTTTTAGATTTTAACATTATACATTCTGATTGGAAAATGACAGTTTTATAAATCAGGTTCCCAGAATACATTCAATGAATTTCTAAGCCATTTGTCTTAATTATACTTTAATGTGATTCAGTGTAACCCTTGGTGTGAAAGATCTCAAAGCTGCTTTATGTTTCAATTTAGGAAATTATTTATGCATTTGTTTTAAAGACAAAGGAATATTAGGAATTTGTTTTTCCATTTAAGATTCTTAAGTATGAAGTGCAGTGTGCTGAGTTTGACATTAATCTCTAAGGGATTAAAAATTCAGTAAAACATCTGTGTGCTTTTAGTAATAACACCATTTGAAATTTTATACAGAAGTTCTTCAAGAAGTTCATATATAATAGCCATGTGATTTAAAAGCTGAATATTTCTTCCAACATCTTTTTGCACCAAAAGAGGCTTACCAGAGCGAGTGACTAGTGATTATGGTATCCATATTCATATCTGAGTCCTGGATTCTGTTTCCAGCTCCAGCTCCTAACTCTAGCTTCCTGGTAGTGTGGACCCTGAGAAACAGTTGTAATGGCTCAAGAATAATTGGGTTCCTGCTACCCATGTGGGAATTCTAGTTTGGGACACACTGGTTCCTGACTTTGTCCCCAGCTCTGGTTGCTGCAAGCTTGCAGGAAGTGAGCAAGTGAATGGGAGTCAGTCTGTCTCTCTCCTCTGCTTCTCAAATTAAAAATACATACATTCATACATACATATGCATGTATATATGTATATGTAAACACACATATTTGTATATATATGCATAAAACACATAATGTGTATATTAAATACATATGTATGTATATGGAAGGTCATATGTTAATTCTGTTGTTCCATAATCCTTCTGAAGTGCCTGTGCATATATGTATGATAATTTGTATACCAACCGTGTTGAGGAGCTGTGGGACTCAGTGATGGCAAGGCTGTGGTAAAAATCAAGTAAGAACCTTTACTGTTATGGAGATTGGGATGCAGCATGTTGGTATTACCCACGAAGAGATCTGGGCCTGCCATGTGAGAACAGTTGAATCATTGGCACCTAGAAAAGGTCTGGTCAGCAAATACCTTTTCTTCTCTGTCAAAAGATCTATGTATCATTTGTAAATCCTTAAGTACTTCTTCCTTTTAGTGGTTCAAGCATCAGAATGCCACATTTTCCTGCAAGTACATAGCCTCACTGATGCTTGCTGTTGTGTGTTTCAGACCGCTGCACATTGCTGCCCGCAATGGCTTAAAGGTGGTAGTTGAGGAGCTGTTGGCCAAAGGGGCCTGTGTGCTGGCTGTGGATGACAATGGTAAGTGGAGAAAGGGAACGAGGACTGGGTGCACCCTCCATGTGCTGTTGGAAGCCAGAAGAAAATGAGAGAGACAGAAGCCTGTGAACAGGCAGTCATAATGCTCTCCTTAGACTTTTCATGCGTGTGAGCAATCAAAGGATACTTTGTCCTGTCTGTCATTTCATAAAACACATGGTCTACCTGTGGCCCACCAGTGCTGTTCATTCTGCATGTAACGTCAGCAGTTGGTCTCTAACTCCTCAGCGTGGTGGTTAAAATCTTTTAGAGACATTACAAAACTTTCAACTTGGCATTCAGAATGCTAACTGCATACACTGAAGAGTTTGGGATTACACATGTCGTTAGTGCATGCTCAAGGGCTCCAGTAAAAACCTAGGTCTTTGATTGTATTTCAGTTCATTCTGAGATCAAACAATTTGTTAAAAGCACAGATCAGAACTCATATTCCCAGTATGGAAATTGGGAACCATGAATACAAATTTTAATTAATGTCGAGGCTTGACTGCTTCTCCTGATCTATCTAATATTTCTTTCCTTAATGAGCTCATTCTTCACAGAAGCTTTCTACTCTGTTTCCTAAGAAATTTTGCAAACTAATGAATCCTAGAATTGTACTAAGCTACCCTTTTAAGCATAATGCTTATTAATTAACATTGGGAGCAAAAGAGGAACTTCTGGATATTTATGAATTAAGTATTTCTTTAAAACATGACATTACTTATAGCATTTAATCTCATTATTATAATGTGTTAATGTGACTCAACTGCTTATTACAGGTATTGGAATTAGCAGCTCATGCCAATTCTTCAGAAGTAAGCAGCCCTACTGACATCAGTAGTTAACTCTTATCAGTTTTGGTTCTGCAGCCCCATTTACCCAGCATGCACCCTGCTCTGTCCCCAACATGGCTCCTGTAGGAACTACAGAATTTTCTCTAATTCCATCTCCTTGGTTCTCTCACGTCACGTTTCCTCACCCTGTTATCTCCACTCTATGCTTTAAGATTGGTATGCATAGGCCTATAATTTTTCTCCAGAATGACCAAAGAGACCAGAATAAATCGATTTTGTCCTTTTTTCCCCATATACATAAATCTGCATCCGAGCTCCTGTCTTGGGGCTTAGCGCATCCCAAAGGTGTGGGGCAGATTTTGCACAGAATCGTCATAATTCCTATACTCACCACTGAACCTTTGCAGAATGGAATGTTTATGTCCATTCTTGTTCTCACACCAGAAAGAAGAGTAACCTCTTGAAGGACTCAGGGGAGTGGCGAGGGAGGATCAGGTCAAGTGATAATTAGCAAGCCAATGAAATACGAAGCTTTACCAAGCTAGTTCCTCTGAACGAGTGAGTGTGTGCACTGCCCATTGAGGAGTGGGAACATTGGTCAGCAGAGGTATGGGTAGTCCTTTCAGACCAACAAAGCAAAGGTCTGATTGTACAATGAGTAGATTGACCCAGGCATGTGTTTCTCATATGGACTGAACCCGTAAAATCTAAATGGTAGAGAATGATCCAACTCTTCAAGTATGACAAGAGTAACAGATTTCCCAAATCTGTTGCATTTCCGATTTAGCACTTTACTTAGTGGGATGACTATTTTTCAAAACCCTGTGAAATTTCTCTTAAAAGACTTGGAGTCACAATCAACCATACCTTCTTGTATCTGATCTCACATGATTCCGTTTTTCTACAGTTGGTTTGGTAGTGCATATTTTATCTGTAATGAAACAAAATGACATTAGACAATCTTACTGTCATCTAATTTACAGTGTTTTTCTCTAAACCAACAGACAGTTAGCTACAATGCAAAGTCATTGTTCTCAGAATGAGAGTCCTGTGTGGTCTGTCTGAGGCTCATGTTTGTGTGTGTGTGTGTGTGTGTGTGCTGCACTTGCTTGCAGGTGGAAACATCTTCCTGGTTGTCCTGTGGAATTGTGTCCCATCCCCACCTTCTCTTGTTTCTGTTCAGTAGATGAAAGCTGGAATTCTAACTTCAGAAAGTATTGTGCTTGCTGTAGCTGTGTGAGCTTAAGAAAAAAAAAGGAAACCTGCCCCCCCCCCCAGTGTCTCCCTCCCTCCCTCTCCAGCCTCACCCCCAGCATGACTTGGGAAGAGTCACTCACCTTTTACCTAGCATGATTTCTAACTCAGCATACATCTCGGCTTGGGTGGGCCTAGGAGATGTACTGTGAAATGCTTGCGCCGCCTCCTCTAGACTCCCTGGAACTAACCACTGCCTTGTCTGCGTTTACGCCCAGGTCATACCCCGGCCCTGGCTTGTGCTCCTAACAAAGACGTGGCTGACTGCCTCGCCCTCATTTTGGCTACCATGATGCCTTTTTCTCCTTCCAGCACAATGACGGCTGTCAACTTCGTGTGTTTAAAAAAAGACAATTTGAGCAGGACGACCCTCTCCAATCTGGGTAGCATGGTGAGCCTGTGCGATAACAACGTAGGCTCCGAGGATGGGTACAATGAAAATGACTCTGATTCAGAAACATTTTGACTTTGCACTGTAGGAGCTTTTCCTCTTTGCCTTGATCCCCTGGGTTGGAGGAAGGGCCGCGAGCTTGACTTCCTGGTTTGTATCCAAGTGTTATTTGGGACCTGAGCTCCCAGAAGTCAGTAGGGAAAGAATTAATAAAACACAGGAAGGGCAGCAAGGCTATAGGTTGGAATACACAAACATGGGCCCAAATTTGCTTTGTTTCATGTTTTGCTAGATACTTCCATGAAAGTCTACCTCTCATTTTAAGTAAAAAATTTTTAGAAGTGTGTTTAATCCTTTTTCTTTGGGGATAATGCATCAGAGAGGCAGCTGTTTACTATGAAGATTTTTGTTTTTTTTAGTTACTCAGCAGAAAGTTCTCAGAAGTGTAGCAGTGTGACATTCATGTCCCCTGGGAGGGGAGGGAAGAACTGGGTAGGAAATGCCTCAAGCTTCTTCTCACTGTGATGTTGACTTCCTCACTAGAAGCCAAAGGTAAAGGCTTTCATCTTCAGAAAAATGCTTGAACGAATCTAAGAGGGTCCAGCTGCTTATGTCCTCTCTAATAAGCACTTAAATATCCAGAATTTCTTCCTGAGTTCCTTCTGAGAACTTTAACATCTTTGTTAAAGTTGCTGGATGAATAGGAAAATTGAGGGTTTTTTTTTTCCTAAACATAAATGTAGCATCCTAGTGTTCCCCAAAATAAACCTATGACTAATTTCCACCTGAATGATTGAACCCAAATGTAATAGCATTTCCAGTGAAAACTACATTGCACCAAAACTTGAGGACAGTATGCACATTTAATAGGAAACTGGTTCATTGATTTTTAAATAGTTTTTGAAATACATCCAAATCATCGGCATTACTCATCAATAGGAAAATATTAAATGAGCTCCTCAGTCAAGGTCATGGCCAAGGGAGTGAAAGTATGCCTGCAAAAGGGAACAAAGAAAGTGAACGCAAGAAGTGGAGATGGGTGATATGGAAATGACAGCCGATTGCCAGTTGCTTAATGATGATCCACCTAGTGAATACTGTGCTCCCTCTGCCAAAGCTTCTAGGTCCAACGGACCCCGTTCCACCCCCGGAACAGCCGTCCAAAAAGAAGAATGAGAGCCTAGATGCTGCGCACATGCATACGCACACATAAACATCTATGTAGATATGTATGTAGTTCATCAGCCAGCTCTCCACGAGGACCAAAATGCTTCCGTCTAAAATGGAAGATGCAAGCTTTTTTCCCTTCAAAATGCAAAAACTGCAGTAGCTTTTCTACAGAGTTACAATGCACTCTTTTCTGCATACCACCCTTTGTTGTATTTTGTATTTCTTATACAGATTTCAGGTTGACACCTTAACATTTGTAATTGATGATGTGTGGACCACAGTTTATTAGCATTATTGTTATTGTTATTTTTGCCAAACTAGGAGAAATGTCCGTACACTTTTGATGTAAATGTGTTGGTATTTATGATACAAGACAAATGCTGAGGAAACATCCTTTGTCCATTCACTGTTTTAATTGCTGTGTATCTTACTTGGAATAAAAAGTGGAAAAAACGTACTTGACCCAGGACTACCCAACAGCCCCAGGGCACACCCAGCATGCCTACTGCTCCAGGCTCCAGATCCTCAAGTTCTTCTGTGGCTGAGTCGTCTGTGGCTGACTTAGAGCTTAGAAGATGTTACAGCCCATGTGCTCCTCTGAGTCAGGAAAATGCAAGTGTGCAGTGAAGCACAACAGTGGCTCGAAGAAAGTTCAGAAAACAATCCACACCTCACTGAGAAATCAGGCTCTCACCAACCTAACAGGAAACAGTGTGTGTGGGCACTCTGCCTAAAGGGCCAGTAAAAATCACCAGCTCTAGGGTTTATTTCCACCTGAGGAAGAGGACAGGAAAGACGTGTCGCATCCGTGCAGTTCTCAACAACGATGTATAATGGCTTCCATTTTGACTGTGGAAATTTCTGTTTTATAGTGTATGTGAGGTGTTTGTAAAAAACAGTATTATGTCGTATCTGGATCAGATACAGATACTGTGCTATATTTTCCATTCAGCTGTAAAATACTTTAATCTTAATTCTTCTGATATCCTGGATTTCATTAAAGCTCATATTGCGTTCTTTAGAATTGAGTGCTTGTTCAAAGGACTTACAGAGCTGATATTAATTTCACCACAGAATTTCTACACCACCACCACTATGTTTTTTTTTTTTAATTTTTTTTTTTTAATTGGAAAGGCGGATATACAGAGAGGAGAGACAGAGAGGAAGATCTTCCATCCGATGATTCACTCCCCAAGTGAGCGCAACGGCCGATACTATGCCAATCCGAAGCCAGGAGCCTCTTCTGGGTCTCCCACGCGGGTGCAGGGTCCCAAAGCTTTGGGCCGTCCTCGACTGCTTTCCTGGGCCACAGGCAGGGAGCTGGAAGGGAAGCGGGGCTGCCAGGATTAGAACCGGCGCCTATATGGGATCCCGGGGCGTTCAAGGCGAGGACTTAACCACTTGCGCCACCGCGCCGGGCCCGACCACCACTATGTTTTGAATTCTTCCTAGTTGTGGTACTTCCCTCCTTGTTAATTTTAGACAGGATGAATTTTGAAAGAAATAGGTAAATTGCGAATGAGCATTAGTGACCTTATCTTCACTGAAAATAAGGGAAAGGCTGTGTTGAAGGACACAGCATCCTGCAGTGTCTTTTTGTGCACAAGTGCATGGAAATCTTGCTCCATTGGCATTTAAGGAAGGAGAGGAAATGCCTGCTTTAATGGTGAAGCAGTGTTGACATTTTTCATCTTGAGTAGCAGAGTAAAAGGATGGTTCCAGCAAAGCAGGGAGCAGCCATGAGACATTGTCTCTCCATGGAGTCACCTTTAGCCTCTCCCCCACCCCTCCCCTCTGTCTCATAGGAGCAGGACAAAGGAACAAAACACAATCATGCTCACAATGAACTGTTCATTGGATCAATCAGTGTCTTTCTCTCTAGTCCACCCTCTAATTTTCCCTGTCCCCAAAACTAAATTTCTTAAGAAATGACTTTTTCAAAAACTGTAATTTTCTGTGTGTTTCAATTACATCTCTTAGAGCAAAATTGCTCTTAGAGCAAAAAGAGGGGGGGGGGGAAACTTTGTGTTTTTAATTGAGTCTTAGTCGCTTAGTGCTTTTACATGTTATTTTTAGACTGTATTTTAACCATAGCCACAGGGATCATACTACTTGGCACTTAACCTCTTCGCCAGTGTCTGTCTGCCTTTGGTAAATACTATCTTCGAAATGCCTAAAATCTGCTACGATTCTACAGTAAATAGCTCAGGGGATTTCTCTTTATCACCACTAAAAGGGCAGCATAGTATGTTTTGGTACTTAGGCAGTAAACAGCTGCTTGATTTATTATTTTATTGTTAGAACAGGAACATCAAATGGATTTGCTGCACTAATTATTCTTCGTACTGTGGAGCAACTTGGTTTGCTGGTCTGTTGTGTTGGTTGAAGAACTCATCCCATTTTTGTCTTGTACTATGAAGTTAGAGTGCCTTTTTATATTTGTATATTCTGACAATGTTCTGTGAAATGTTTTGTATTTTTTTCCATTGGAGTGTTATCAAAGCAATATCATACCAGTGAGTTTTCATTCCAGTCTTTCTTTGAATGTATAGAGTGTGTTTTCCTACTTCCCCTTTTCTTGCTTTGAAATGAAAATGCTAAAAGTTTTCTAGAGGCATAATCTTTCATTTTATAGTACTGAAATATTTTCTTCTTACAAAACTGTAAACTTTAGGTCAGTATTATAGGGGAAAAGTGTTTTAAGATAGTGACAATCTGAGTGTGTGTATAAAATGTAATTCTATATGTTTCTTATGCAGTGATCTAAAAATTCAATGCAAATATCTTGTTTGGTAGTTTTGTCTAATATTTTATGCTTTAGCATGTGCAATATATCTTTGCAAAGCACGATGATACAAATCTGGTACCAGTGTTATATTTTGCATAGCATATTTGTAACAGCATAAAATATTGTCTGATGATTTCAGTGGAATTTTGTCTGTAATATTTTATTATGTAAATTGGAGTTGAATGACTCTGGTAAATGCCATGACTGTAAAAATTAGGGAAATGGCTTTTAGTTCACTGAGTGACTTTGATCCAATCTGAACTTCTCAAGCACAGTTTAATACTTTTTGCAACTACTGAATGCTCTGATAATGTAAGGAAGTACTTCACTGTAATATACTATGGAAATGCATTCAGATTGTTATTTTTACAAATAAAAACGGTACAAATATTGTTGTAATTTGTGGTTTCTTGAGTTTCCTAATTTATATTTTTTTTTCTAAATTATGCTGTTTTATATTTTTGCCCTCCACAAGGCAGATGAACTTTAAATTTTGAACATAGTCATGATAGTTCCAGATTTGCTGTTTCCATTTGTATTATCACAATTAGAGAAAAAGATTTCCAGCATGTTTGTGTTTCTGTTGTTTGTGTGTACTGCCAGCTTTTTCCATAAATGGTTTGAACTTGACTTGCAATAAAAGACATGTGATAAACTCAAAGTAGAAAGATTAGGAAAGGAAAAAAACACAAACAAATATAGAAAGCATAAAATTTAACACTGTGGCTGAACATGAGTTTGTGCTAAGCTTGCCTGCAGCCGCTAGATTGGGCAGATGCTGAGTGAGTCTGTGATTGACCATCCAGGCCTTATCTCCTCAGGAGTGTCTGGAATAATATCCCACAGGAACCACTCAGGTCTTGTCTCAGCCCACCAACAGGAGTACCCCACACTATAGATCACTTGCTACAGGTAGCTCGCATGCACGAACCGAGGAGCTGCTGCCTTCTCCCATCCGCTGTGCCTAGGATGTATGAAAACCAAGTGCTGTCTACCCTGGGTGGCCATTTCCCTCATGTGGTCACCGCCCCCCCATCACCCTGCCCTCCATGTGGAAGTGGTCCTGGACTGATTCCCGCAAGGGAACAGTCGTCACACTCTTCTTCCCTAGTAAAGCTCTGCCTGAACTAAAGTCTCTCTTTACACTCTTTCTCTCCCTGTTACCCCTGAACCTAACACAGCCAAGAGTGAAAATGTGACCAGTTACATAGTTTGTATACATCAGAAAGAAGGAAGCCAGCTAGGTCCTCAAGACTGTAGAATAAATCAACCATGTTTCTGATTTGATTCTGTCATTACTGCTCTTCCGCAGTTTATTTGCAACATAGGAACCTACCTCCCTGCCTCATCCTTGAAGGTGTCTCTAAAATTTCTTCCCAGGTCTGTCTTGCCACCCAGAGGTTCTCCTCTTGAGTAGTAACTTCAAGGATGACCTCTGGAACAAAGGACAGGTTCCTAGTGATGGAGTTTCTAGCTAATGAGAGAGATTTGAAGGTGAGGCTGGCAGATAGTATTGGGGGATTTAAGCCATATTTCCATTCAGTCCAATCCTATCATCAATTTTCACAAGCAAACTGAATACCTTAGAAGTTACATGACTTGCCCAAACTTGAGAGTTGGTGATCTGGCTTTACAACTTGTGAAAGTTCTCTGCTTTCCACCATTCTGCCCTCTAATGTTTTGTTTCATTGTTTGTGCTGCTTGTTTGTTTGTTTGTTTCTGCCAGAGTTATTCAGGAAGGTTTTATAGTCATCCACACCTCATTTCTTATTTAAATGTACAAAGTACAAATATGAGTGCTTTCCAGACTTAAAACTGCAAATGAGAAATCACATTATGAGAGAGCCTTCAGTTGTTCAGTTTTCTATGACTGTAACAAATATTTGCAAAATCTAGTATCTTGAGACAAGTGTTTGCTAGCACCTCCTATTTGTGAGACAGCTGTGGCTTAGCTGGGTCATCTGCTTCAAAATCAAGAAGCTACAGTCACGCTGTTGGCCAGGGAAAGATTCATTGCTAAGCTCGCCCCTGTGGTTGGTGGCAGTATTCATTGCAGGTTGTGGGTGAAGGGCCTCAATTCCACAAAGCTGCTGGCTGCTCAGAGTTCCATGCTGAGTGGAACTTTGCATAAGAAGGCTCTCAGTGTGACAGCAGGCCTCATGAGAAGCTGAGAAAAACAGAGAAAAGAGCAAAATTGAAGGCCCAGGGTTTTGTAACTGAATCTCGGATGTTGTTTCACTTTGTGCATTCTCATTAGAGGCAGGTTACAAGCTCTCGTCTATTTTGAAGGATACCTTGTTCCTTTAGGGGGTGAATACCAAGAGCCAGATTTATTGGGAGAGCTGTTGGAAGCTACTGACCACATGGTGTCCTTGAAGATATGAAATCAAGCTGGAAAGCTGCTTCTCAACAACTGCTTAGAATGTTATTGATTTTTTTTTTATTCCCCTATTCAAGAAAAAGAAATGTAATGATCCTCTAATTTTACTCAAGTTCTTTGAAGTAAAAAGGAGATGATGCTTCTACTGTAGAACATACATACATGATTGAACATTGCTGTGGCACCATCTTCAAACTGCTTGTCAAAGGACCCTTCTCATTCCAGCAAGTAGGTTTAGATCCTCAAACTTCTCCCCTCACATAACATGCTTACTGTGTTCCAGAATTAGCTTGTGAGGCACAGAAGCATTAAGCTAAAAGGCTATTATTAACATAACCTAAAAACATTGTGGGTAAAAGTGCTCTATGAATGTCTCTTTAGCAAATTCCATAATGAAGGTACTTTTGCTTTAAAATACAAACAGCAAGTGGTTGCTCCATTCATTAATTGTTCAGAACTCCAGGAAGTAATTGGAAATGTGAAGGCATTTGTGGTTGGCACAATGACCAGGGATGTGAAGGATGAGGCTGACATTTACTGTTCTGAGGCCCAGGAGGATCAAAGGTGACACCTCACTGGGTAAGCAGCTGCCCCACCCACCGTGCTCCCCCATCCACTGCCTATCTTCTTGCTCTCTCGTTTCTGAGTCATTTTTTCATCAGCTTATTGCCTATGAAGGCAACCATATTTCTTTCTGAAGGAATTGCATAAATGTATTCTGATATATATGTCCTTATCAAGACAACTTTAAGACAAAAAAACTTTGGGAGGCAGTGTGCTCTAGTTGTGGGCATTTCCGGAAGTGATCATATGCAAGTGAGTGAGGAAGTGAGAAAAGCTGCAGAGCTTCGAGACAAATGTTTCCTTCCCTGTTCTCTCCCACAAACGTATATACACAGATAGGTACATTGCTTGT